ATGACATATTTACCTTTTTCTGAGATTAGAAGGAATATGTGCAGCCTTGCATTACTACAGTGTTAACTGTACATTAACTGTAAATTATTTTGTAGATGTGCTGTATCATGTTAAGGAGTTTCTATTAATTTACTTTTTCTAATGAATTTTAAAAATTGGAGCTAGAGATATGGCTCAGTATTAAGAACACTGGCTGCTCTTCCAGAGGACCTAGGGTTAGATTCCCAGCTCACAGTGTTATAATTCCAGTTGTACATGATCTGATGCCCTCTTATGGCCCTTATAGGACGGACCAGGCATGCATGTGGTACACAGAAATACATGCTGCAAAACACCTGTCTATGTAAAATAAAGCAATAAATTAATTTTTAAAGGATCATGAATTGGAATTGATGCCTGAGGTGCAAGGGAGAGATTCTCACTAATGTCCTGGCCTGGGAGCAAGTGAAATTTCCCATTTTCCACAATGCCTGTCTGCACTTCTACCACAGGTCTGGGTCTAGGGTAGCACCCCCTACTGCCCTGCAGAGATCAAAGTCTCCAGGGGTCTATGAGGCCTTTGTAGCACCACCCAAGAGTTGGGTACTGACTGCTTCATTATTTTATCAAGTGAAAGGAAGTCCAGGCTTCCTGCTTAAACTGTTAGCATAAGGAGGCCAAGGCCACAGTGCCCCTCCCCGACAATGTGTGACTGCAGAAAGAGAATTACTATCTAATGTTCTCTTCTGTCTCACTGTAACATGCCTTTCGGGGGCCTTTAGAGAAAGAGAATAGGTTTATTGGCAGGGGATTTTTGTATCTCTTTTCAGGTTGCAGCTTCTATCAGTCCCAATCTGAAATGTGAGAGAAAAGAGAAGAAGGGAGGTTGCTGTATCATCCTTTGGTTTCGGTGGTTCCAAGTCTGGCTTCTTTTAGTCTCCATCTCTCAGAACCTTCATGGATTTTTAATATAATGCTCAGGCTTTTACACCCTACATAAAAGTAGAAACTGGGAAAAGGGAATTGAGTTCATTTTCCTTGACTCTGAGCTTTGTGAGTAAGCCAAAGCTATTGGCCAACATGCTTACATCAGCTGACTTCCAAATGACAGGGTTTGCATCATTTTGGCAACCTTTTCTTACCATGGTTGGGAGTAAGATGGAAGACAGGCCCTTGGGGGGAACCTTTGACAAATAATTTGAGGATATTTTATGTAAAATAACTCAGGTTTTTCCTCCTAGTGTGGAATAATGTTGGAGTATAATTTTTGAGATTACCCCCATGAAATGAAGGTACAGAAAAAGCTAAGGTGATTGATCTATTATCGCCTCCTCTCCGTTCACTGTGTTCCCTGTAGGCATTTGATTTCTAAATTGTCATCCTTAGTCAGCTTCCGAGTGAACTGAAACACCACCTGGCTCACCCTAAAGTGTTCTCTTATTTCAGAGTGCAATTTTTACTTCCAAAGGTTTGTTTTTAGAACCGGATCCTCATTTTCCCTGTGTAATATGAAAGAGAGCATTGACAACAACATGAACACTGGATACAGCACTTCCAAATGCACTGATCATCTCTGAGCCAGTGTTTGCTTTAACTCTAGTCGTCCAATAGCAAACTACTCAGACAGGTCCCAGGTCCAGTCTGCTCAACAGTCCGCCACTTCTGATAAGCAGTAAACATGTACAACCTTTGTCACCAAGGTGATGGAGTATGTCCAGATAGTCATACCAATGGTTACCTCAGAACTGGAGAAACCATTGATTGCTGTTGGGGAGACTGACTTACATTTCTCTTCACATGCCAGATTGAACTTGAGAATACAAAGGATCCATTTTCTAAACAACAAATAACATTTACATATGCCTATTATCAAGATATATCTTCTCAACTTAAATTCACATATGTTTGCTAAGAAGGTTTTAGGCAATTACTTCTAGGTTTGACTTGCTGGAAGATGCTATTGACACCAATGGCTTAATGGGAGACTTCAGGAGCCTCATCCCCCTACATAGCAGGATTGAGGAGGCCTGTATGTTTTTATGTGAGATAACTTTCATTTTGCTGAGACTGACAATTATTTCTTGGTTTTTCTAAGATTAGCATTTTAGTGTAGCTTATCTGGATTGCCAATCATTGTTTAATTACAAAAAGTCATCTATGTTCTTTGTCTCTGAATTTTTGACAACCAAAGTTATTAAAAGTTATCACACTTATCAATGTGGCTGTGTTGTGAGGATTCAATAAATCACAGCACCTAGGAATTTGCCTGGGGCAGCCTACTCATTTAATAGACAGTTAAGTATAGCAAGATCAAGGGAACTGTCTAGGGCCATACTACTACTGATTGATGGAAAAGTCAGAGCAAGCATTCGATTTATCCAGTCACTGGGCAATGTCCCAGTCTTGCCATGTAGGTAACATTACTTTGCAAGGTTATATGCTTTATGGGCTAATGATGAGTAAACGCAGACTGAAGAGGTCTCATCTGATACAACACAGTCTCCAGGGTTCTTCTCAATTCTGACTCTTCTCTAGTGGTATACTGAGTATGTCCAGTATTTGTTCTTTACAAAGACGAGATCCGTGTAGAAATAGAGGTGGAGCAGGCTACCATGACGCAGTAGGGGTGGTCAAACTCTTCATGGGACTCCTCACTCTGGATCTCCTGTTAGACAATGCTCTTTCATTTGTGATTACCACATACACAGACAAACAAAGCCACAACAGGTGAAGATCTTTAACTATGGGTGCCTTTAGTGTCTGGCAAATCTTCACCCAAACATTCTGAAACCTGACTTTGAGTGACACATGTAATCAAAACATGCTTTTACATAACTTGAATGCTATAACTGGTGTGTAAATGGTTCTGAAAGTTTATAGAAGTTTCAACTTATTTAATTTTGCCCTTTAATATATGCATATAAAACATAGGCTAACAAGAGTACCTAGTTCATATGACTGTTGAGATCAGCCATGGCTCAATGAAAAGTCTAAAGGCATAAATAGGAGCTCAAGAATGTGAGTTTTGTATGTTTTTAGTGATATTAATATTGTCATTCCACAGTCATACCAACTATAATCAGATTAAAGGAATTTCATGCTTTTCCTAACCAGAAACAATATTTTCTTTGGCTTAAAGTTCAGGCAGAACTTCAGCCTCTAGTCAGTAAATTCCTTTAGTAGAGGCTTTTTGGTTCCTACCAGTTACCCTGTAATATATCCTACAGGCCATTAAAGTTATTCCTCAAAATGATCTCCCAAGACTCTTTCAAAACTACAGTGGCCCTTTATTTTCCAGATCATACTGTAGCTAAATCTCTAGAAAACAGGTATTTCCCTCATTCGTTTCAGAGATCTCCACCCTCTGGGAAGATGGGATGTACAGATCAGTGTTGTGGAATATTATTTTAAATTTGTGAAGGTGTGTTACATTTGTTTATGCTGCCTTTGTTAAGGATGGAAAGATGTGTTACATTTTTTCACCTTGCCTGCCTAAGGCAACTTATTGGTCTAATAAAAAGCTGAACAGCTAATAGTTAAGCAGTAGAGGGATAGGTGGGACTGGAGGACAGAGAGAATAAGTAGGAGAAGAAATCCAGGATAGAAGAAGGAGGAGAAGAGAGTGGGAGAGGAAGAGAGGCAGGTGCTCTGGGCCATCTAAGCAGGCAGCTGCTAGCCAGCTAGACAGAGTAGGACATACAGAAGGAAAGAAAGGTAAAAGGCCCCAGGGCAAAGCATAAATAAAGAGAAACAGGTTAAGTCATAAGAGGTAGCAAGAAATTAGCTTAATATAAGGCTGAGTGTTCATAACTAATACTAAATCTCTGCGTCATGACTTGGGAGCCAGTTGGTGGTCCAAAAGACAAAGCCTGGTACAGATCAGAGCACACATGCCTGTCTTACTCTCTTTTCTGTTGTTGTAATAGAATGCCCTGACAAAGGCAACTCAAAGAACAGAAGATTCTCAGTTCAAGGGTACAGCCCATCCTGGCAGGGAGATCAAAGCAGCAGGAGCATAAAGCAGTGGGCAACATTGTATGATTACCCTACTCCACTGTGAGTGAGGCGGTTAGGAAAGTCTGCGTGTTGTTATTATTACTTTACTTGCTGCCATGGCAAGATACCCGAGAGAGAAACTTGGAGGTGGAAGGGTTTACTTTGAGTCATGGCTTGGAGATCACAGTGGGCAAGACATGGTGACAAGAACATAAGGCAGCTGGTCACTTGCATCTTCACCCATGGCATGGAGATAAATGGATGCTGGGGGCTCATCTCACTCTATCCTTTTTATTCATCACAAAGAGTATGGGACTGTGCCACCCACACTCAGAGTGGGTCTTCCCTGGAATGAAACCTCTCTGGAAGCCCCTCATACACACATGCAGAGATATATTTCCATGGTGATTCTAAATCCAATCATGTTGATAATGAAGATCAACCATCACATCATGTCATCCCAGAATATTGTTTGAGCCTTTTGTAAATGGACATGGCTGTTGTTATGGAATTATATAAGAAATGGAAATAATTTGGATGTCCATTTTTGTCAAGGGTCTTTAACAAATAAATGGTAGTTATATCCCTAAACTTAAAACAAAACATTGTCATTTCAAGATGAGCATAGAAAGCCATGCCTATAATTCTAGCACTTGGGAGGCTGTGGTGGGAGAATTGTAATGAATTAAAGGATGACTTGAGCTACATAGTGAGTTTCAGGCCAGTGTGGGCTATACACTGAAACTAAACAAAACTCAAGCAAAGATGCAAGCAAACATTGCTTCCTTAAGAAAGCCTCGCTGATTCTAACATATAATTGTGGTAAGTGGTGAGGACAGCGTGGATGAAGGTGGTGAAATATGGCATTAACCCACTTCTCAAATGAAGGTACAGAGGTCAGGGGGTGAGCCTGAGCCACATGCAAACCAAGTCCAGTGATACTCAGTTTAAACTGCTTTCCACTCCCTTCAGTATTACCAATACATGAACACAGCAAGTGGATCTCTGTTGCTTGAACTCTTTACCTGTGCCCGAGTTCATGGGCAATGGTGAAAGCCAGGGGTAGGCCAGAATCTTCATTGATGTTACAGCTTCTGTGAGGCTGGCACATTCCTGACAGTTGAGACAGCCCCAGAGTCTCACAAGGGCGATTGACACCAGCACAGATGTCCTTTCTGAAAGTAGAGACCAGAGATGCTTAAGCAGTCAAAGAAATGTTTGTGGAAGATTCCTGTGAAGATACATCAGCATAAACTACAATGGTTGGTATCTCTAAAGCATGCTTCAAAATAAAACCCATATGAGAACAGGGATCAACTTGGAACTCACTGGACACATTCTGATTCTATCTCTTAATTGACTGAATTTCCCAAACTTTAGAACATAGGAAAATTTAAGCATTTTATTTTCAGTAGTTTTTAATAATCATCTCAGGAAACTGGTATGATTAGGCTAACAAAATATTTCACTGAAAATAAAAGTTAATTTGAGCCATTGAATAAGGAAGGGGTAGTTAGCAATTTTCTTTTCAGACATGAAACCCCTTTTGGTTTTACTTAGATTGTTTTCAAAACTCATCTGAGACATGTTTGTTTTTGTTTTCTTTTGTTTTATGAAAAATGCAATTTCTCCCACTATCCCACAAAGAAATGAAATCTGTTATCTAGTCACACTACACTAGTAAAACTTGCACATGTGTACAGTGTATGTGCCTATCTCATGCACACTGTGAAACCTGCTCTCTCCCTTTCATCAGAAATTAGCTAGAAAGGGGAAATAAAGATTCCTAGGATCTCAGAAAACAATATATATCTTTTCAAAAACAAAAGCATGCTTCCATTTCCTAGACAGATCATTTCAATCTCTGACAAGAATTTTCAGAGAGTCATTAATTAGTCACTAGACTTTCTTCAAGCATAAGAAGAGCTTTTGATTAGCACAAGTGCTGGTGATTCTTCCAGACTTTAGCTGCAAAGCTTAGCTCCTGAGGTTTGTGTGGGCATCATCTGTAGCAACAAATGGTCTCTTTTTGTAACCTTTGGGAAATGGTATGGAGCCACACCTGGAGAAACTGTGAGAGTTTTCAGTTCTCTTAATGGCTGTGAGTAGTGCCAGGGAAGGAGAGAAGCAATCCCCTTTCATAGGCAATGTAGATGTGAATCACATGTTCACTGCCAGCAGCTGTTGGAGGGTTGAGTATTGTAGAGGTAGATCATACAGTCTCCAGCTGGATACGTCCCAACCTTGACTGCAGGATGCATGGTTCATTACTTAATCTAAAAGTATAGTTCCTCAGGGACCTGCTGTGGAAAAGATGTATGACACCCAGTGCTAATCTGTTAGCTCTCAGTTTGATCTGGAAGGAGGCCATGTATGTTACATAATTTTGATGGAGTACCTACTGAGAGCTTAGCATCAAAGAGAGGGAGAGGGTATAAAACAAAGGAATTATAGGGATACAATTTTTGGAGACAAGGACCTGTGGATTGGCTAGATCTCTATCATATACTGAAGACAAATACAAGAAACTGCCTTGGAAGGCTGCACATGTGGAACATACTTGTAGTGTATTCTCACAAATCTGTCCTTCCTAAATGCAATTCTATCAGGCACTGCCAATGTGGGTATCAGAATAGTTTCTCAGTGGCAACAATTAATTTCATACCCATTCCCTCCTCATCTTTTATTTTTTTCAGACTTATTGGGGCAAGGTGAGGCGTGGAAAGTAATTTTGATCTTACTTCTTTCCTAAGGGACTTTTGGTAATGTCTGGAAATAGTTCATGTTCTTATAAGTTGTGTGGGGTACATTCTCATAAGTAAAGACTAGGGACTAGATATTCTTCAAAGGAAAATTTTTAAAACAAAGAATTATCAAATCCCAAATGACAAGTCCTAATATCAAAAATTTAAGAAGGTCTTGGGTATGTGTTATCCTGTGAAAGACAGGCCACTGAGATCATAGTAGCCCCACCATTTTGATGGGACCATCCTAATGTAAAGGATAATAATAACTTCCATGTGATATATGTCTGTCTGAAATTTCAATTATCAGAATCCTGCTTTTGAGTGAAAATACTAAAACCTAGTTATATACAAATTTGTTCCAAGAGAATTTTTTGGTATAAACCTATAGCGGTGGATTCCTAGAACCTACAGTACCTAAGGTAAATTAGGTTTGTACATTAAACACAAGGCTCTGGTTCTCTCCAGCAGAAGAGGCTTCTTTTAGTACATATCTTTAGATTTCTGGATGCCTGTGAATTTGCATAAGCTGTGTAGTAAGAACTACCCCCCTTATTATATGAGTCCTTATCACAAAGAACATAGTAGGAAGTCAGTAAATATTTACTGAGCCATTAAAAAATCATAGATTTCAAAGAGTCTGAATTGATTAGGAAAGTTATTTAGCTTTTCATAGTTCTGGATCCTGAAAGTTTTTATCCTTTTTTTTATAGCACCTAGAATTCATCTATGCTCACAACCAAATTGTATCTTTGCAAAGACGTGGACTTAATCTAGGGATTTACCGATACTAGGCAAGTGACCTACTACTGTGCTATGTGGCCATGTTAAAATCATGAGGGTAGAAAGGAGGAAGGCACATTTATATCACTCTTTTTATTCAAGGAGAGATGTTTGCATTGTATCCTAAATGTCGGTCTGGAGTGGGTTAGAACAGGTAAGCTCCAGGAGAATTGTATCTTATAATTTGAAAGGGGGAAGATTAAACAGAAATAAAAGGATTGAAAAGTCCACCAGCTGAGGGTAATAGAAGTCTTCAACAAAAGATTTGAAAATAGATTTCTTGGTACCAAGAAGACAATTATAAAGACAAAATCTTTGCTATGATAAAGAGACTCATTTGCCAACAGATGTGGTTTATAAGAAAGGAGAGTTTTGCCATATTAACAAGCTTGCTAACATGCACTCTCCATGGTATTAGCCAGCAAGAGGTTCACAGACTATAGTTGCTGCTTTCACAAAAAATCAAGAACAGAAAACGGTAGTGAGAATTCCATGAGGGAGAACACATAACAAGACTTTCAGCCACTAGCCATCCTCGGCTGGTTACCCTCCTTTCCAAATAGCCTCTGAGGTACCTGGTGATAAGAACAGCCACATCGTGATGGACAGGGTTGAGGTCACTCTTGGGATTAATGCTTTTCTGCCATTTGCAGAAGCTGGACAGTGTCTTCTCTGCATGGTGAACTATTTTCAATCCTTGCTGGAAAAAGAAGAGAAAGGATGTGCATGAGTGGGCTCTCTGTGATCCAGCTTACTGTGTTAGACAATAGTCCTCAGGAGCACTTCAGAGAGATGAGCTCATGATGGTTCTCCAGGCATTCGGAAGATACTTGGCAGAGACAAATGCATTCCCTTTGGCCTGACTCTCTTTTCTGACCACTATGACCCACCCACCCCATGACTTTATTTAAAAGACCTAGAGGGCAGAAATTGTCACCATATCAAGTAGCTCTTAAAAATAAATTGGAAATATAACAAAGACGCACACTCAGTTCCAAAAGCAGCATTTCCCCCATTTCTAATGAGAAATGAATACATTTTCTACAAGAAGCTTCTTTTTCTCTCAAGGTAGCTGTGAGGCTGGCTGCTGGGTACTTGTGCATGTTATTTCATCTGATTTACCTGCATCACTCAGCATTATCAGCAACAAAACATCACTATGTTCATTTTATAATTAGAGAAAATTACCTCTCAGAAATGGGAAGAACTAACTGAAGGTCTCTTAGCTCAGATGCATTGAGGTTCCTAGTGAGCCTGTGCTAGTAGTCAGTCATCACCCTCGCTGGGAAGGTAGCTTGGCTCTGCCTCCTTTATACAGGACTCCTGATCATCAAATGAAACACCAACTGTGACCTGGTAGCTTTCAGGCCTACATTTAACTCTATGCATCTCTTAGGGGGTATCTCTGAGAGATAACCACCACATTAAAAAATTCACATTGACATTTATAATTATTTAAAAATAGTGAAAAATTCAGCAATAAAACTAACAGTCAGAATCTGTATCCTGACAATGCCAGAATGCTGATAAAAGAAATTAGAGATGTAAATAAAAGAACTGACACTGTGTTAAAGGGTTCAAAGGTTCAATCAAGAGAGCATTCCACCCTTCAAACTTATTTGTAGCTCTATTGCAATTTGAGTTAAATGCTTGGGTGGGACTTTTCTAGATGTGTTCAAGCTCATCATAAAATGTACATGTAAAATCACAGTCCTTAGATTGGTTTAAACAAGTCTTAGAAAAGAAACATAAAGTCTGATGATTAGTTGTATCCAATCTAAGGTATACAATAAAGACCCATAACCATGACAGTATGATGTAGATGTAGGGATGGACTCCTGGCAGTAGGCAGAGAACCAAAAGTAGATCCACACAAGCATCCTTAAGTGGTTTCTTTTTGGCAATGATAAAAATGCAATTCATTGAAGAGAAGAGAATCTTTTCAATACATAGTGCTAGATAGCAAGAAAACAGCTCGATTGAAAATGATGAAGAAGAAACCATGAATGAGCACTTATCAACAGATGACACACAAATGACCAATAAGCATATTAAAATATTTAAGGTTACATATGTTGACACACATTTATAATCCCAGAGTTGGGCTACTGAGGTTGAAGGAAGGTATTGTATTGAGGTCAGTCTCTGCTACATAGGTGAGTTTCAGACCAACCTGTACTGTATACTTAACCAGTTAAAATTATAAAGTCCTATCACCATGTACCTGTTAAAACATTTATTGACAAGAAGACAAATGATTACAAGAATTAGTAAGAATGTAAAGTAGAAACTCTTGAAAAAACTCAGTTTTTTAGAAATGTAAATTAGTATAGTCTTGATTAAAAACAGCATGGAAGTTTCTTAAATAAAAACAGAACTACCCTTTGATCTAGCAATTACTCTGAAGAGGATATATACAAAGTTATGAATAATGTACATTGAAGAGATATACATCTCCATGCTCATCACTGTATTTTTCATAACAGCCAATATATGGAATCAACTTAATATGTATGATACAATGATTCTGATTAATTTTTTTCAGTTTTCTGAAAATAATACAATAGCTTTCAGACCAACAAATGAAGGGAATTCTGTAGTTTGTGAGAGCGTGAATGAACCTGGAAGATATCGTGTTAAGTGGCAGAAGCCACGAACAGAGACAAATAGCTCATGACCTCACTTATATGCAGACTCTGAAAACATAAAACTTAGACAACAAGAGCTGTGGGTAGGGGTGTGTGCACAGGTTGGTGAAAGGATTGATATTTCAATTTAGGTAGGAGGAATAAGTTCTAGAGCTCTACTACATGACACAGTGACCATGGTCAATAACAATATATTATATATACTCAGTTGTCAATGTTCACACTAGAAATAATATTCAAATGACATCACTGTGAACATTTCCATATGGTTCAACTGATGCATTAATGGTTGTAACTATAGTATTGTTTTGTATGTTTTGGCCTTCCATTATTTTATAATCCCAATGAGAACTCTATTTTGTCTGTAACTCCTTACTCTGCCTTAGTGGGCAGATGAATAATCAAACCCTGTTGCTGAGTGAACAGATTGAAAACTTACCAAGGTCTCTTCAGATGCCCAAGAATGCTCAGCATGGCTGTGAACATCTGTGTTTTCTGTGAGCCATACCCACACTAAACCAGGGCACTATCTTCTAAAGACAGACTACTAGAAGTCTCACTAGCTCAAGACCATATTCTCCTGGCATCTGCCGTTTAAACTGGAGTGGCAGTTGGCAATTGTAAAAAAGTCAGACTCTATCAGTTAAGGCAAGAGAGGAAGTTCAAAGGGAAGTCTTTATGTTTGCAGAAGGTCTTTGAAAAAGTTTTCAATATTACACTGCACTGTTGCTCTGATCCCAAATGTCTTTCCATACTAGCATTTGTTCTATCAATTTCAGGATGTTAGAAAAAGAAGCCAGAATGATAAACTCTCATTTGAGGGACCATGCAATAAACAGAGCATGTGTTTGGAGATTTAGTGAGCTGTGTTGTGATGTTTGAAAGAGGCCCTGGCATCTGATTCAGTTTAGGGCTCTTTGTCTTGGTGACCATGATTTGTTTCACAGGGGCAGGAGCCCTGGAGGATTCTAACAAAGTAATTGTAAGGTTTGCTCCCCTTCCTTTCCCTGTAGATCAATATCTAGTCGTTAGACTTGTGGCTTTGCCATTGGTTACACAAGGGAGTTCAAGGACAAATAGTTCAATGCAGCAATAATCCAAGTTCTCCAGTTTTTTGTTTTAAGAGACAGAAACTGAGCTAACTCAAAATAAAATATAGTCAGGCTAAACCAATAATGAAATGAAGATTTTAAGAGGCACAAAGCAAACCAATAAACAGATTTTAATATTAGTTTTATAACAGAAAAACAATTATATGAAGGCAATTGCTCTGAACACATAAAAAATGAATAGGTCTGTGTTCAGATAATGACAATGCTTTACAGCCCTTACTATTATCATGGTCACTTCTGAAATTCTCCACTAAAAATAATAATCTTTCCTCTTCCAGACTGTCTTTATTGTTTGGTTTTTTTTATTTGACATGAGTTCACATTTTGTAGCCTAGGCTGACCTGACCCATGATCCTCTTGCCTTAACCTCTAGAGTTTTAGGATTATGGGTGTGTATCACCACACTTGGTTCTATTCATCCACAGTGTTTCCTTTATTATCTGGAATGACTACATCATCTAGTTTCAAAAAATCTTCTAACAATGTTTGGCATTGACCATGGATAGCTCTTACCCAGCCAAATTCAACCAGAGACACATCTCAGTCAGTTATGTGGCACTGGGTCAAGTTCAGGCATCACAATGGATGTGCAATTATATTATATGTGCTATGGTAAATACCTAAACCTGAGGAAATGTTCCATTTATATAGCACTCTGATTTGGGCTGTATCATCTTAGACCTTTTGAGCTTATACTCAAAATAATAATACATTCATTTAATAAACAATTGAAGGTCAGAAGGTAAACAATACAATGGATGATTGTATATGGGGAGGGAAAATTAAGACTAAAGGCTTTTTGAAGAAGATAAATGGATGGAAACATATTATTGTGGAAACATATATATATATATATACACACACATATATATATAAGAAACCATATATATTAGGGAAAATATATATTAGGGAAAGAAGAAACCATATATATAACTATGTGTATATATACATATAAAACTATATATTATATATAGTTTTAGTGAAATTATCTACAATGGAAGGAAGAAGAATTACAAGAAAGAAGAAGAAGAAGAGGAGGAGGAGGAGGAGGAGGAGACTTCTTTGTGAGTTGTTTGCTAGTGAGGCCACATAGACCAGTAAGCATTATGGGTTATTGCTAACACTCTGTTACCTTCCAGAACTTGATCGGAAGACCCTACTTCTGAAGATACCACATAACTTAAATCATAGAATATGGGATGACAAGCTGATACTGACCTAGAAGTTTCATTCATAATGCTGGCTATCTTACATAATGCTGGAAGATGCTATACATGATAGTGAAGTAGAAAAGTAATCACCAATATAAACCAGTGGGAAACCCCATGGGATACAACCAACCTAACATTTCATGGATATGATATTGACATAAATATAATGGGAGTGTCAAAGACTTTTTGATTGGATCTAACGCCTTCTCCATGAGATGGAACTCTTTTGTACTTTTCACTGTTAATAGGTCCAAGAACCAGTAGCTAGATATATCATAGGCCCTAGTGGAGAACTTAATACTATTAGTTTGCTGAGTGAACAAAATATTAAAATGACTCCTAATGACTTAATGCTATACTCATAGATCATTCATTTTGCAACTCTCATCAGAGATGCCTCTTCCTGCTTTAAATGGCAATCAGTACATAGACCTTCAACTAGTTAATGTGCAGAAAATAAGAGACTGTGGAATACTCAGCCCTACATGGAATATACCTATCACACCCCTCGGCCCAGAGCTCAGGGACTTTCACTGAAGAAGGGTTGAAAAGATGGTTAAGAACAAGACTTGCAGATAGTTTAAAGGAAACAACGTTACCCAGACACAAGGGGCAGGTGAATACAAGCATTTACAGCAATTGCAGCAGCATTCACAATATCTGTGCAAGCTCAAATGAGCACAAACCCTGATGTTGGAAGAGGCAGTGGGAGAGGGGAGGTAGGCACAA